GTGCTCCCACCATGATGGCTATGGGATAATCCTCTGAAAGGGTAAAAATAAAGTCCCCAATAAACTATTCTGAAGTCTCCCTTGGTCATGGTGGCTCTTCACAACAATAAAAAAAGTAACTAAGACAGATTTCAGTTGTTCTATAAGCTCTGAAAACTCTTAACTTTTAGGTCTGTAGGTCTCTCCTCCGACCTTGTGTTATTTAATTTTTCTTTAGTATTTAATATTTCTTTGTACTTTCTTTAGTATTTGTTTCTCATATTTTATTTATTGACTGATTTTTGTGTATGGAAAACAAGCATAACATTATGCGTGTGGAGGTCAGTGGATGCCTGTGGCAGTTGCCCCTCTCCTGAGAAATGGGTCCCAGGAATTCAACTCAGATCATTAAGCTTGTAGCAGGCACCTACCTTTACCTCTGAGCCAGTTTGCTGGCCTCTTGTTAATGTATTGAACAACACATGCTGGAGAGGATGTGGAGAAAGGGGAACCTTCCTCCATTGCTAATGGGAATGTAAACTTGTACAACCACTCTGGAAATCAATCTGGCACTTTCTCAGACAACTAGGAATAGTGCCACCTCAAGATCCAGCCATACCACTCCTAGGCATATATTCAAAAGATGCTCAAGTACACAACAAGGACATTTGCTTAACCATGTTTGTAGCAGCTCTATTCGTAATAGCCAGAAGCTGGAAACAACCCAGATGTCCCTCAGTTGAGGAATGGATACAGAAATAGTGGTATTTTTACACAATGGAATACTACTCAGCAATTAAAAACAAGGAAATCATGAAATTTGCAGGCAAATGGTGGGAACTAGAAAAGATCATCCTGAGTGAGGTAACCCAGAAGCAGAAAGACACACATGGTATATACTCATTTATAAGTGGACATTAGACATATAATATAGGACAATCATACTAAAATCTGTACACCTAAAGAAGCTAGTTAAGAAGGAGGATCCTGGGTAAGATGATCAAACCTCATTCAGAAAGGCAAAGAGGATGGACATCAGAAGATGGAGAAAACAGGGAACAGGACAGGAGCCTACCACAGAGGGCCTCTGAAAGACTCTACCCAGTAGGTATCAAAGCAGATGCTGAGGCTCAGGGCCCAACTTTGGGTAGAGTGCAGGGAATCTTATGAAAGAAGGGGGAGGTAGAAAGACCTGGAGGGGACTAGAGCTCCACAAGGAGAACAACAGAACTAAGAAATCTGGGTCCAGCGGTCTTTTCTGAGATATTCCACCAAGGACCATACATGGAAATAACCTAGAACCCTTGTTCAGATGTAGTCCATGGCAGCTCAGTATCCAAGTGGGTTCTTTGGTAATGGGAACAGGTACAGTCTCTGACATGAATTCAGTGGCTGGCTCTGATCACCTCCCCCTGAGGGGGAGCAGCCTTACCATGAAGACAATGCAGCCAGTCCTGATGAGACCTGATAGGCTAGGATCAGATGGAAGGGGAGGAGGACCTCCCCTATCAGTGGACTGGGAAAGGGACATGGGTGGAGAAGAGGAAAGGAGGATGGGATTGGGAGGGGCCGAGGGAAGGGGCCACAGCTGCAATACAGAGTGAATAAACTGTAATTAATAAAAAGAAATAAATTAAAAATATCTATAAATACATATGACACAGACATTAAAGACAATTGGAACAAAAAAAGTACTGTTGCTTAACAGTGTTTCTTGTCTCTATCTCTCTGCTATCTTCAGAGTTGTTGGCCTCTTGGACATTGCTCTTTCTTTGGAAATTATTTCCCAAGGTTCTGACTTATGAATAGTGTCTACATTAATGACCTGTTGGCTCCATAGTAACAGAATAAAAGTTATCAAATATCAAAGCCAAATACCACAGGACTCTATGTACTTCTTCTGCTGAATAACCACCACACTGTTATCACAAGAGAAGGTTATGTTAGATTTTTCCTCTTGTTGACCAGAACTCACTGTAGTTGGCTGAACGTCCTGGGAGCTTTGAGTCCACCCTCCGATGGGTGCACTTTGTCCTGCAGATAACAAGGTACAACAGCATCTAAGCACTGCAGTACTGTAGATAAAGACACGTTCTAGAAATGCTGCCTTGAAGACAGTTTGCGAAGGACATACGAGCCATCAAAAGGACAAATGTAAAGTCATTATCGAGGTGTGTGTTCAGAAGGAAAACTTTTCCAGTGACTCTACCCCTTCAGAAACCACTTGCATTTCAACAAATCACCAGGGGGTGGGGCTGCAGAGATGGCTCAGTGGCGCAGAGCACTGGCTGCCCTTCTACGGGGCGTGGCTCAATTCCCAGCACCACACGGTGGCTCACTGCCAGCTGGTAACTGTAATCCTTAATTCTCAGGGATCTGATGTTATTAGGTGGCCTGTGTGCGCACTGTGTGCATGTGGCGTAGTCATACCATAGGCAAAATGCCCACATGTGGAAAAAAAAAAATCTCATAAATAAATAATTAAATACAATTTATATCCTGGGCTGGTGGCTAGGGTCCAGGCCAGGTTCTTGGCCTCTCATACAAAGAACTGAAAATAAGGGCTCCAGAGTTGCTAAAGAAGCAAGTTAACTCTGTTTGAATCAGGCAGTGGTACAGATTGTAGAAGACATGCTGTCAAGATTGACAGCTGGCCACACGGGTCGGAGGGCTCAAGGCTGTAGGTTCTTGCTTGGGGCTTCTTTCTACGGGGTTCAAGAGAAGGAAGAGTGATTCGGGTGGCTCTCTATTTCAGTTGGAGGCCATGTACTTATTTTCCCTCCTGTGCCTAGCCCTTCTGCACTGCATCTGATTTTAATAATTGGTAAGCCCGATTAAGCACAAGCAGAAGCTGGTAATAGGGGGTTCCTCTAAAAGTTTACCAGACAGCAGTCTTGCCCGTCTGGGTATGCACCCACAATTAGTTCAGGCTACATCCTATTCTTGCTACTCTGCTACTTTGAGGATAACCTGGACTAGAAGTCATCTAGCTTCAGTTGTTTCTAAGGGAAGTGAATGCTATTGCCCCGAGATGGGGGACGGCAGCCTGATGCAGGTGGCAGCTTGAGGGCGTTCTGAGGTTGCTGTAGGAACTGGAGAAGGCTGTGTGAGCACAGGACATGCAGGTGAAGCCATGAGGCCGCAAAGTGCTTTATAAGAGGGTGGTGTGCATGGCGGTCCAAATGGGGTGCCAAGCTAAACCATCTCTGCTCACCCGACTCAGAGACCACCGCCATTCTGGCATGTTTGTGTTATGTGGCATGGATCAGTCCTCTGCACTGTTGGTGGCTGAGAGCAATAACCTGACCTTTTCTCTTGTAACAGCAGTGAGGTTGTCTCTCCAAGTGGCACAGAATGCCGTAGTATTTGCTATTGATATTTGGTAACATTTACTCCTCCACCAGGAGCCAACACATCATTAGTAGAGATATCATTCATAAATGGTGTCTTTTTTCTTTCGGGTGAAACAGCCTGTAGTAAAGCTGCCGTTCATGGTGGGGGAAGCTAGGACAAGAGACTGGCAGAACAAAGGGAATTCCGACATTTATGGACTTTAGAGAGGAAGGGAGGGGTCTCTGGGCTCAGCAGACCTGGAAAAGTCCTCCGTAGGGCTGTAATTTAGGGAGCTAATCCTCCTATCCCACCAGCTCAGGGCTCTGAGCAGTTTACGGAAGGTACTGCCCACGGCTAGCGGATGGCTCCTGCCTCCTGCTGGTGTGGCAGCATGCCCTTTTGTGACTGGAAGCAATGAAGGAATGATAAAGGTGTGATTCATTTTACTTTAATGTAGTATGTGTGTGCAGAGGTGTGCATATGTTCAGGGCAGAGTCCTGGAGCTGGAGCTACAGGGTATGTGAATTGCCAGACGTGGGTGCTGAGTGCTGAGCTCCGGTTCTCTGAAGGTAGTGTGTGCTCTTAACCCCTCTCCGGTTCGCGCATGTTACCTTATATGCGTATGTTCAGACACTAAAGCCACAGGTTGCGGCTTACATAGAACGTTTTTTACAAGTGGCCCCCAGGTCCTGAACTGGAAAATTAAAACCGTTGAGGGGTGGCTGGAGAGAAGGCTCAGGGTGAAGAGCATGTGCTGCTTGTTTAGAGGACCTCAGCTGCGTGTCCAGCATCCACTTCAGGCACAGCCACCCAAGTCAGCTCCTGGGAGCCTCTAGCCTGCAAGGATCCCTGCAACCATGCGGACACACTCACAGACAGACAGACAGACAGGATTAAAAATTAAATACATCTTAAAAAAATGAAATAAGTCTTTAAAAATATTTAGGAAGTATATTGTTTGAAAGATTCTAAAATCCTAGAAAAACTGAGGCATCTAAGTTAGGGGCAGTTCTGCTTCTGCCTAATTTAGTGAGTGAACCAATTAACTGGCAACGAGAGAAACAGAGCTTTCGCCAAGGTTACTCTCAACAAGTCTCACTATCAAAGTCAGAGGATGGAGCAGAGTCCTCTGTACTGGATGACTTGCGGCAAATCACTGTCTTTCTCTCTACAGTGCTTTCCTCATCACAAATATGAAAGTAAAATAAATGCCTGTACTGATGGGTTTTTGAGCCCCTTAAAAGCTAAAGTAAAGTTCCTTTCCAATCTGTTGCTTTTTTTGCTCTCCCCCGATCTGTCCCCATCTCTGTTAACAACCTTTCATGCCCCTGGAGTGCTATTCTCCACAAGTAGTTCAGGCAATTGGTGAGACAGCATTTTACCTAAGTATAAAATTAAAACGATTTAAAGTAAGCAATGTAATCTTTTTTTGAAAGACATACACATGTCCTTGGAGAAGCTTTAAGAAAAATTGGGGTTTCTAAGCTTATGAATAGTTTATTACATTTCAACAACTGTACTGTGAATCAATAAAACAAAAGCTAAGGACAATGAGCTCAAGTTATTGATTCTTAAGTTTCAAAATAGAACAGTAGAGGAAAGCTATAAAAAAGGATTTGGGTGTCTGTGTGCAATAGGAATTTAAAGCGTCAAAACATAGAGTAAGGAAAGATTCCAGCAGCCACCTCAAATGTCTATTTCTGGTAATTTATTTTGCACTTAAAAAAATATCCGTAAGTTGTTAATATTTATTTTTATTTGTATTTACTTATTTATTTTTGGATTTTCGAGGCAGGGTCTCATCATGTAGTTCTGGCCGCCCTAGAACTCACCATGTAGACCAGCCTGGCCTCGAACGCCCAGATATGTGCTAGCGTCTGCCTCGCGAACACTGGGGTTAAAGGAATGTGCCGATGTGCCTGGCTTGGATCCAGGATTCTCTTGCTACATACATTGCAGATCTGTGTCTTTAAGACGAAGGGGTAAAAAACAGAGCAGAATAAAGGTACAAACAGAATAAAACAAAACGCCCGACCAACAGGCCAGGCCGGTCCTTTTACGCCAGGAAGCGGCTGTGGAGAGGAGGCTTTCAGAACTCAATTAGGTGCGTGTACGGCCCATTGGTGTCCAGCTGCAGCACCTGCCTGTTCCCGTATGTGCCATGCAGCACCGCGACCCCGGCTTCCGCACACTTGCTGCTGGCGGCCACGGCTTCCTCGCACAGGCTGACAAACTGCGAGTACAGGGCGAAGCCCTCCTCCTTTCCACAGTTGGAGTGGTACTGCACGCTCCTCCCTTTCGCCCTGCCCCCGAGGGTGGCCTGAGGGATGATCAGAACGTCGCCAGGCAGTTCCAGGATGGACACACGCTTGCCGCTTTCTGTCTCACTTAGTTTCACATTCAATAACGTATTAGCTAGGCGAAGAAAAAGGTGAAACATTTTGAAGGGAAAAACAAACACGAAGAAAACGATCAATCTTTTATTTGCTTATCAAGTTTCATATATAAAGCCTAGTTTTAAAATCTAGTCTCTAGATGTTAAAAAGGCCTTTATGAAACAGCCCAAGCACAAAAAATACACAAAATTTTGAATTTCATATAGAAAATACCAAGGTACTTCAAATCTGACCTGGCAGCTAGGCTCACCTATACAAAGTTAATCCAAAAAGAATTAGCTGCACCCTGGAACCTCAAATACTGTCGCATACTGGGGGGCCACGTGAATGTTTGCTCCTCTGCTCCTTTTACTTCATAAGCAAACCCACTGGTTCAATTCCACTATAAGCCAGATGACTCGTAGTTTCACAATTTAAGGCAATATTAACATGGACTAACGTTTTATAAATAAGGCCTCTTGGGAAAATGCAAAGGTAAAGTTTATCATTACAAACAAAAAAGCAAACAAATGATACAGGGCTATATGAATATGATATATACGGACATGTGCGTGTCTATGTATATGTAGGAGGCTGGAGAGAAGACTTGGTTGCTAAAAGTATTGGGTAGTCTTCCGGAGGACAGAGATGTGGTTCTCAGCATCCACAGGGCAGCTGTCCCTGCCTCCAGGACCAGATCACCTCCTGCCCTTTTCTGGCCTCTGGGGGCAACGCTCACACGTGGTACAGACCTCGGTGCAGGCAAAACAGCCATACACATAAACAGAAATAAAATCTCACCCTCCCCCAAAACCCCAAACAAAAAATCCATGCTATTGTTTTTACAGTATTATGAGACTGTTTATACAAATCACCATAAGCATCTATGTGTTCTTAGAAAGCTAAACTTAGCCTTTATATCTTAACCACTTTGAAGTAATAAACTGAGAGGTATATATTTATACTTAGGTTCTCTCTCCCTCTACAAGGGCAAAAATGAATTCTTACGAAGAACAGAACAAGCAGTAAAGACATTCTTACCCTGCCATCATCAAACCATGCTTTGAACGGCGTACTTTCATTGCCAGGCATGGTGGAACACGCCTTCAATCTCAGTATGAGGGAGAGGCAGGGCAGGCAGACCTCTGTGAGTTCCAGCCCAGCCAGTGCTACACAGACTTTTTTTTTTTTTTAAAGTTTTAAAGATGTGCTTTCTAGTTTGGCTGATTTCAGTCCCTACAAACTCTGTAGTAAGCATCAGTAAGGACTTTGTACGATTATCCTACTCTACAAAAGCATTTAACCTGGTAAAAACCGAGTCATAACCCATGCTGCAAGCCTCACCTCATTCATTAACTAACATCTCTCTCAAGCAGCTTTGTAATTCTGTTGTGAACTGGTCTCTGCCTTGCGGCCAGCAGCCCTCACAAATGGAAATCACTAGTTAGCTGTCTAGGCTCATGACAGAAGTTAGCAGTTCTGGATTAACAGGCTACGAGTGGTAATACCATGTCATTAGACTTTCATATTTCTCCCTCTACTGGCTGTAACTGAGAGCTCACATATCTCTGTGTAGAAGTGAATACAGTTACAAAGAGAAACAGAAGAAAGTTGAACTGAAATGAGATGATCATTAATAGCATGTTAGAAACTTAGATTGTAAGATCCATTATCAATCAAATACCACAATAACACAGGCAGGAGGTCAGTCTTTGACAGATCGCTGATCTCAGTGCAATTACACTGAAGATGAACTGAGGTAGAGTCTATACATCTCCATTTTAGCTACGGCATTTCAGACGTCATGGTCACAACTGGTCACACTCCCATTTATGTAAGGTTTTACTGGAAAGGTCTGAATCCATGAATAAGTATGGGGTGGGCTTTAAGAGAACCTTATCATATGATCTCACTCATGGAACACAGGGAAGGACACACGAATCCCTCAATAATAAATGTTTATTTTGCTTGTACTTCAACCTGCTGAATGTAATTCTTAGCCAGTAAGTCCTTTACTAAGAATGATAAACTAGGTTAACTATTCATTAAAAGAATTAAGGTGCTTTCTTCTGTGTTTTCAATTCACTACAGTCTTGCACATGTATTTAGAGTGAACTCATAAGAAAAGACAGATGCACACAGGTTTAGCCACTACAAAACAGAATGCAGCTTGGATTCGGTGGCCTTATTTTAACTCCTTATGATTAGGACATCACGAGGCAGCCCTGAAAAGACAATCTTTGTTTTTTTAAGACAGGGTTTCTCTGTGTAGTCCTGGTTGTCCTAGAACTCACTCTGTAGACCAGGCTGGCCTTGAACTCAGAGATCTACCCGCCTCTGCCTACTGAGTGCTGGGATTAAAGGCGTGCACCACTGTGCACAGCTACAAATGACCAACATTTTATTTTTTTCATCTTTATTTTTTATATTAATTATAGTTTATTTACTTTGTATCCCAGCTGTAGCCCCCTCCCTCATTCCCTCCCAATCCCACCCTTCTTCCCTCATCTCCTTCCTGCCCCTCTCTAAGTCCACTGATAGTGGAGGTCCTCCTCCCCTTCCATCTGACCCTAGCTTATCAGGTCTTTTTAGGACTGGCTGCCATGTCCTCCTCTGTGGCCCAGCAAGGCTGCTCCTTCCTTGGGGGAGACGGGGAGGTCAAAGAGACAGCCACTGAGTTCATGTCAGAGACAGTATATTTTATTTTTATATTTGAAGAATCTTACTACATCTTATGGACAGCAAAGATGACCAAGGTAAAACACTTAGTAAAACGAGCAGAGTGCCTGACACGGCAGCACCAGGACCTCACAAACACCGTCTGTAACAGAAGCAGCTTCATCTCATTTTCTTAAGCTTTCAAGGGTTCCTCGTTATCCTCTAGGTTCAAACTATTAGAGTTCCTAGCTCTCTCTCTCTCTCCTTACCTGTCCCAGTTCTTTCTTAAGTACAGTTGTCATGATTTGACAAAGCTGTCAAGCAAGTTTCAAATATCAGGGTAAAATTTCCTGTTAGTTTTGACTTTTTGGCTAAGGTGTCACCAATGGCTATCTGTCCATGAGTTTTGCTTCCTTACTCTAATCTCATTTAGGCTAACTTCTGTAACTATCTGCCAGCACTGCTTTTTCTTTTGTGACATGTCTCGTTCTCTTGTTCAGGCTGGTCTCCAACCCCAGGATCAAGGAATACCCCTGCCTCAGCCTCATGTGTAGCTAGAACTCTAGGCACATGCTATTGTGCTCTGCTTAAATTTATTAATTTAACGAAGCTGTGTTGTATTTTCCTAATGAGGGGCATATAAGCTGCCTCCACGCTTAGAGATAGCTGCATTGTTATATATATATTTTTTTTTTCTGAGCATAATTTGAAACCAAATGCTGCCTTGTTACAGTGTGATTTGGTTCAGTACATCTGAACCCATGGTCTATCTCTCATGAGGAACGGGCAGGGCCGTGGACTGTATACAGTCCTGGAAAGCTGTAGTGGGTAAGGTACTATTTTGTGACCTTGGAGCATTTGCTCTGTTTTCTATCCTCATAGGACATATGGTTGTGATAACACTAAGTCTGGTTCAAGAACCAGAACTATATTTATATGCTTATACAAAAAACCCTCCATAAATGGTTGCTATAAATTCGCTATCAGTGAGATAAGGCTGAGTTGTTCAGATTTGATTGAACACACATGCTGTACATACATTGTCATCTACTGCCCATTAGGGATGCTCTTATCCGATGGGGAGAGGGAAGGGACAGGGGACAAGAAAGGGTATTACCATATATGGTCAAAGTATATGGTATAACTCTATTGAACCTGTCATTTTGTAAAATGAGTATAAACGCATACATGCATGTACGCATGCACACTTGGGGAGTGTGGCAAATAAAGCAAGGAAACATCTGCTTGGATCTCCGTGGCTACTGAACTCTCACAACCTTCCATACCCTGGGCAGAACTATGCTGTACATATGGGCTCACATGTCTGTTTTCTAAATCAGTCTACAAACCAGCTGCAGTACTGGGAATTTTAAAGGAGTTCCACCACAGGCACACTGTTTCCACTTTACAATAAACTATATATTATAACTAAAACATTGGCACAATGTTGAATCATGCTTATCGGGGCTGCAGAGGTGGCTCAGCAGTTAAGAGCTGCTGCTGCTCTTCCAGGGACCCTGGGTTCCATTCCCAACAGACACATGGCAATTCCCAACCCTCTATAACTCGGGTTTCAGGAGATCTGGTGCCCTCTTCTGGCCTCTGAGGGCATCAAGCATGTATGTGGTAAACAGATATACCTGCAGGCAAAGCACCAATACACATTTAAAACAGAAAAGAGAGAACAAAGCAAGCAACCCCCCAAGCTCCCCGAGCTAGGCCTGCAATCCCAGCTACTCCAGAGGCTGTAGCATAAAAACTGTGTACTCAATGCCTCCCAGGGATGCAGAAGGACTTGACGGTCACCAGGTAAACTGTCAAGACCTTGATCTAAGAGGTTTTTTTAATTAAAAAAACTATTCGTTTATAAAGAATTAGGTATCATTATGCCATTTTTTTTTCATTCAGAATGTTTTTGTTTGGATGTTAATTGCTAAAAAGGGCTAGGATACAGTGCAGTGGTAGAGTACTTTCCTGTCATGCTCGAGGCCCTGGCTTCAAACCCTAGCACTACACCAAAACAAAATGAAGAAGTAAAGACAAAATGATGCTTCTTGGCTAAAGTTATACTCATCGGCAGAGTACTTGCTTAGCATTTAAAGGCCCTAAGTCCAACCCATACCCCTCAGAAACAAAGTAAGATCCCACTGAAGCCAATGGTTCATTTGCTAACAGATAGTCAAGTTTGCAGCTTTATTCACCTTACATCATAACGAACTCTAGCACAACGTTCTCATGCCCCTCTCACAGCGAGGAGAAAGAAAACACATACCCATTTTGGGAAGAAGGTCTGTGTCAGCTCCCTTGAAGAAACACACATAGATCACCAGTCCTCTCCGAATCTGTGAGAAATCACCACAGGAATCTCAGATTAGGAAGAAGTCTACAGAGAAGTAGCTCAATGGGGGAACATTTCACAGAGCTTACAAGCATGGGGCCTGAAAACCAAGGAAGAGAAGTAAGAATAGTCTTCAGTTCTAAGTAAGTTACGGGGAACAAAATCTTTCCCAAGTCTTTTTTGTTTGTTTTTGTTTTTTTAAGACAGGGTTTCTCTGTGTAGCCCTGGCTGTTCTGGACTGGCTTTGTAGACCAGGCTGGCCTCAAACTCATAGAGATCTGCCTGCCTCTGCCTCCCTGAGTGCTGGGATTACAGGTGTATGCCCTGTACCCAGCTCCTTCTCAAGTCTTAATCATGATTATTTACTTCAAAAATTAAGATTATAATATAATCAAGAGCAGTGAAGACCACAAATCTCACCTTCATTTATTTCTCCTAAGTCAGCAGAGCTTTCAGATAGCCTCATCCATACCAGGTCAGGCTGACAACGCTACATGAATAGAACTAAAAGAACTAAGAAGGGAGATAACTTTCAAACAAAATGCTGTTTCATAAAATAAAACAAAACAAAACAAAAAACCCCACAACCTTGACAAAAGAACAGAGTAAAGGATGGCTACTCTGTGGGAGGGAAGGAAAAGCCTTTGAAATAGCTTTTAAATTTTATAAACACGAAGGGATAGTTTGGAAGGCTGCAATAAAATGTGATTCTGTTACAGGAAATGTCGTGGGAAACCAAAAATGATAAAGGATGGACTCTAAATTACCGAGGTTGTAACTTACTATTCCAGACGGCAGCAATGAAAATAGTGGTTTTTTGGATATAAACAAAACTTCAAAATCTCAAGGAAAAGTCCTAACACAAATATGATAGGAAGAAAAATAATTTAAGAGAAGGGAGATGGTGAGGATACCAGAAGTTGTATTTATTAAAAGGCAGGGTTTGCCTACGCAGCCCTGGCTGGCCTGAAATTCAGTGGGTAGAGCTGGATGGCCTTGAACTCAAGAACTCCGCCTGCCTCTGCCTCCCCAGGGCTGGGCTTAATCGCATGCACCACCACACTCAGTGTTTCAGAATTTTTAACTCTGGTTTAAGGTCACCCACATACATGGCTCACGGGTGATCTTTACTATGACGGCAGGGCTGAGCTGGAGAACGCTGGATAGGAAATCTAATCTAATGGAGGAGAGTGAGGTTCCCTAACAATTCTGAGAACCGTTCGGCGGGGTCGCTTACGCCGTCACCCCACACCTGAGATACTTAGGCAGAAGGAGCACCCTCACGGTGAGGGCTACAGATTGGGCCAGTCGGGCATAGCCACAGAAGCAAGTCCAAAGAGGAGACAACTAGGCCACCCGGTAGGATGGGCAGACAGAAGGGAACACGCTCGTCCTCCCACGGGACAGGAGAGCAGGACCAGCACGGTTCCGCGGGAAGAGCCGGGCGTTACCTCCACCCACTGCGCCGCGGCGTCCCCCTCGGCCGGGCGCACTTGCAGGCGAGCGTGCAGGCATTGCTGCAGCAGCGCGCGAGCCTGGCCGGCGTGGCCGCCGTCCGCCATGGCTCCGGTCCGCAGGGCGCAGGCTCCGCCCGGCCCCGCCCACTGCTCGTGTCTCCACCCCCAGGAGGGCGGGGCCTCTGCCTGGCTCCCCGGAGTCCCGGATGTGCAGTTGGTTTCCCTAGGAGAATGAATGACGTGTAGGAGTGGAGGATTCGTGTTCAGAGAGAATTTTTTCTTTTTCTTTTTCACTTAATCTCATCCTCAAATACCTTGTTTTGGGTTTTGTTTTTGGAGGTAGGGTCTCACAGAGCCGGGGTGAGTAGCCGTAGCCCTGAGGCTGAGGCTGACCTTGAACTCCTGCCTCCTCCCAATAGGAGGGTTTACAAGGGTGCACCCCCACCCCACCTCAACCGGCTGTGCTACCTGCTTCATCTCTTGAAAAAACATTTTTCACTTCAGAAAGCTTAGGCTTCCAGACGTTGAAAAAAATGTAAGCCAGAATTAAGTCCATGCTCACTGTAAAGACAAATGGCTAAAATGAAATCAATTGATCTCAGAGCAGGCTGAAATTAAACAAAAACACCAGTTCTCAATCTATGGGTCGCAGCCCCTTGGGGGTTGAACGATCCTTTCACAGGGGTCGCCGAAAGCCATCAGAAAACACAAATATGTATGTTACAATTCATCGAACATTAGCAAAATCACAGTTATAAAGTAGCAACAAAAATAATCTTACGGTTGGGGTCACCAGGAAACGAGGAATTGTATTAAAGGGCTGCAGCATTAGGGAGGTTGAGAACCACTGCACTAAGAGCTAGAAACCTTTCAAAATATTTCTTGCTCACTCAATAAATCAGCGCTGTCTCCTATATCAGGAATGCAAATCAATACAAATCATTTTGATTCCGTAGTTGCAGAAGGGTGTTTATAAGCTATGTGAATGCACTTTTGGAGAACAATTCTTTCTTATTATTCTTTATTATTTTATTTTCATTTATTTTTATACATTTTAATTAAAATATAATTATATTACTTTTCTCCCCAGCCCCTCTCAAGTCGCTTCCCTCCTGCTTCTTCCATTCCCCCACTTACTTTAATAACCTCTTTTTTCTCCAGTTATCATGGTTACATGTTTATGTATGCACAAACACATAAATCCAACCTGCTGAGTCTGTTTTTGTTGTGTGTGTGTATATGGTTTCAGAGATGATCCCTTTGGGTGAACAGTTAGGGGGCTCATTCTACAAGAGGTTAATTCTCTCTCTGTGTTGTTCTTTTTCTAGGGGTAGAATCTGGTCAGATGCCTGTTGCTTTTGTTCAGGCTTCATTTATGCCTATGAGAGATTCTATGAGAGCTTGCTCTACAGCAGACTTCCCGGTGCTCTGACTCTCACACTCTCTGCTTCCTCTTCTAAGCTGTTCCTTGAGCCATAGACACAGGAACATCTATAATGCAAATGTGATGTGATATAGATGTAGCCATCGGGGCTGGCCTTCCCATAACTTTTTGATCTCTGCACTGTGTCCAGTTGTGGTCGTCTGTGATGATTCCCTCTTGCTGCAAAGAGAAGCTTCTGTGATGAGTGGTGACAGTTACACTGCGGGCACAGGGATGAGACTTAGAATGTGGTAAGGAATTATGTCCCTCTAGTGAAGTTACGGTGTGTAGCAGACTCTCTTTTGAGCCTGCACTGCCCCTGGTAAGTGGGTTCTAGCACCACAAAAGCTTTCCCTCTTCAGCTCAAGTCGAGTTGGACAGCTGCTGGTTGCCACAGATTTATTGACCATCTTGCCATGATGGTCGTTGTTGTAGTTCATAGGGGTGGCTGCTGGGCTGCCCTGTTAACTGCCTCCCTCCTTCGGCAGCCGGCATAGCGTTGTCTGGTAGCACACGAGCTAGACACAGAAAGCAGCCTCTCAGGTTAGATACAGCTGCAACAGTCTGAGCCCCGAGTCCTAAGTGGATGGTGTCTTCAGCGATAGGGACTTGCCTTCCGCCTTTGAGAGGTATCCAGGAAACATTACTTTATGTTGTTTTGGAAGTCCTTGGACTACCCTGATTTTATTATTTTACATTTGCCTAAAATCATACACAATAAACTCAACTGCATACACACATATCTTAAAGACAGTTATGCCACTTGGGCTCACGATGCTCCCCACAAGAGCCACTGACTCACAAACCCCTCACTACCAGGCTAATGGAGAAGAGCAATTCTTTAGAAAACAACTTTGGTAAGAATATTCTTGTCCCAGGGTATGATTGCTCACCTGCTACTGAACTTGATACGTATACAATCCTACAACATATTCTGATGTGCACAATGACATTAAGTCCTGTGATCCATTTTCGTTAAGCACTTATTAGAATGTAAATAAAAGTAAACAGGGCTTGGTTTTCTTTCCCACGAACTCTATTCCTTGAGTGTGCATAGGATTAGCATTTATTTTCCACAGACGGGGAGGGTTTAGCGGGGAAATAATAGCAGCCCTCTGATTGCATTACTCAGGTCATTGATTTGGGCTCAGTTGGCACAATATAGCCATGTCTGTTGTTTTAGAAGATGACATCACTGACAGTGCCGCTGTCCATACCAAGTAGTAGGACTGGAGAAAATAACCCATGCAGAATCAGTAGCCCTTTGTACACAAACTGAAGCTGCTTGTTGGCTGGTTATCTTGAAGCCCCCCCCCATATTTCTAGTTAAAAGAAAATGAAGAAATCTCACATTATCTCTGATGGCTGCCTTACGGGGGCTCCCACATTGGTTGTCCTTTGTTGGCATAGCATTCACAAGCTGAAGTTCTTGTGCCTGCACCTGTATGTCACTGCAACGATTGAGTCTGCATTCTGGCACTCAGACTCCAACTTTACAAATAGAAAGGAATATTGTTATAGAGACCCAAGCCATGGGGGGATAAGTGAAGACTTTATTGTCCATTCCTGGGTGAGTGAAAGAGGCAACTATTGCCAATAGGATCTGGTTCCCAGGGGTCTTTACACAACAAGTAACAATAGGAAGCCCTTTCTGTGATTATTCAGTGTTTAGTTGTTAATGGTTAGTGTCTTAAAAAAAAAAATCACCGATTACTTTTAACTTTCCCATTGGGTGAGAATTCTAGGGCTAGGAATAGTTGCAAGAAATTATCTAGTTATTCTTCCCTTCTGCCTGCAGGGGGCAGTAAAGAGTAGACAGTAAAGAAAGCATTTTCCCTTTTTTTTTGTTTCTTTTTAAAATTCCATTATTATTTTTATTTATTACAATTTATTCACTTTGTATCCCAGCTGTAGCCCACTCCCTCATTCCCTCCCTCCCTTCCTTTTCTCCTCCCATGCCTCTTCCCCAGTCCACTGATAGGGGAGGACCTCCTCCCCTTCCATCTAACCCTAGCCTATCAGGTCTCATCAGGACTGGCTGCATTGTCTTCCTCTGTGTCCTGGTAAGGCTGCCTACCCCCTCCCTACTCGAGGGAGGTGAACAAAGAGCCAGCCACTGAGTTCATGTCAAAGACAGTCCCTGTTCCCATTACTAAAGAACCCACTTGGACACTGAGCTGCCTTGAGCTACATCTGAGCAGGGTTCTAGGTCATCTCTATGAATGGTCCTTGTTTGGAGTATCAGTCTCAGAAAAGACCCCTGGACCCAGATTTTTTTGTTCTGTTGCTCTCCTTGTGGAGCTCCTGTCCCCTCCAGATATTTCTATCTCCCCCTTCTTTCATAAGATTCCCTGAACTCTGCCCAAAGTTGGGCTCTGAGGCTCAGCATCTGCTTTGATATACTGCTGGGTAGTCTTTCAGAGGCCCTCCGTGATAGGCTCCTGTCCTGTTCCCTGTTTTCTCCATCTTCCAATTTGCCTTTCTGAATGAGGATTGATCATCTTACCCAGGGTCCTCCTTCTTGCTTAGCTTTTTTAGTGTACAGATTTTAGTATGATTATCCTATATTGTATGTCTAATATCCACTTATAAGTGAGTATATACCATGTATATCTTTATGCTTAAAGAAAGCATTTTCTTTCTGTGTTTTGTTTTATGAAGACTGTTCTCACAAAGAATTCATTTAAGTAGGTCATGCAGGCAATAGTATAGCAAAATTTGAATAAAGCAAAGAAGAGTAAAGAAAATTAAATTGCACTAGTAACTCAAAGTAGATTACATTTACTAGTTAAGATGATAGTTTTGACTGGAATTCTGATATAGTATATTTAAAATTTTTTTGGGGCGGGGTCAAGATCTCATATTCCAGGCTGACCTCAACTCACTAAGTACCTGAGGATAATACTGAACTCTCGATCGTATTCCTGATCCTCCTGCCTCCACCTCCTGCGTGTTGGGATTACAGGCACGCATGACCACACCGAGCTTCTGTGGTGTGGAGGACTGAACCCAGGGCTCTGTACATTCTGGGTAATCGCTCTACCAACTGAGCTTCATCCCAGTCCTTCCTTTGGATTCTCCAAAGTCAAACAGTCACGTACGTCACATGTGATGTCAAGGTGAAGCAGGTTGTACAGTTTGCTCCAGAGATAAAGGGAGAACATAGCAGCAGGCCAGCTTTGGAGGAAGCTACACTCTGGTACACCGGCCTGCGGGCCAGCTTTGCCTTGTGAGTATACAAGAACTTACTTTTGAGTCCTTGGGAGGGGGTTCAGCTGTTAAGAGCACTTGCTGCTTTTGGAGAGGACCAGGGTTGTCTCTCTGTACTCACACGGTGACTAACAGCTGTTTGTAACTCCAGTTCCAGGAATCTAATGCCCACTTTGGCTGCTATAAACACAGCATACATTTAGTGAATGTACATACATGTGGGCAAACACTTGTATCTATCTATATATATATACACACACACACACATATATATATATGTATACATGTATATAATATATTTAATTTTTAAAAATAAGTATTTTTTAAAAAGAAGGAAGAAATTACTTTTTGGGAAAAATAATTTTCAAACAGCTACAACAATAAAAGGGTTCATATGCATAGTAAGTTAATTGTCTGTGAATTCTATATCCCTGTGATGACATAATATTTGAATGAGTCTTCTTTTCAGTTGCTTAATTCATTGAGTTTGGTT